CATTAATATTAGGAAAAAATTTTCTTTCACATTTCAAGAGTTCCCATGCTAGATGGTGTGAAAACTAGTCCTCCTTTCTTCAGATTGCCTCCAGTGGATAATCGAGCTCTTCTCCATTTCATTTTTCAGAATGTCTTGCTGCTGTATTATGCACAGTGGTGTGGATTCTGTGCTTCTCTTAATCACATCTTTATTCAACTTGCTCGGCTTTTGCCTCCCGACAGTTTCACTGTGGCAAGGTAAAAAGATTCTAATTTCATCTTCCCAGAATAATGTAAGATCATTGAGGTCATCATCCTAGAAAATATTTGTTTTCTCTCTACAGCTGTGCAATATAGATGTGAATGTCATCTGCATGACTTTTCTTTGAATGCATTGTTTTGTTTTCCTTTGTATATATTTGGTGGTTTTCAATCTCACTGCAGTAGTTATCCACTTCCGTTAAAATTAGTTTTTAAACTGTGCAATTAACCTTGAAACTTCCTAATTTCAGGAAGGGAATCCATAACTTTGTAACTATTTGTGGCAAATAGTAATGTGCTATTTTTATCTATATATAATTTGTTAGCAACACCATTTTCATCACAAATCTAAAAAGGCAGCCTACATCCAATGATAAAGAAAATTAACTCTATACAAGCAAAAACCAATTTACATAAACATATATATCTATATATGCATGTGTGTAATGTATATTTTTAATATATATGTGTTAAAATATATTTTCCATGTAAAAAAATATATTGTTTTCTTTGGTGTTTTCAGGGTTATTAATGTTTCAGTGCAATTGAAACATTCTTATTAATTTATGTGATAATAATGCATAAATACTTAAAATATCTGCTCTTTCATTTGATTCTGACTGAACTTACTCCAGGAGTCAGCATGAGATGACTCATGAAAAAAAATAATTCAATTAAAAATCTGGATTTTCATCCCCTGCTTATAATTGTGGCTTTATTGCCACAGATGTGATGCTATTCCCAAGGCTACACCCATTCTCTTGCTAGACTTCGAAGTTCTGTCTTTGGCTCCATTATTTTCACAGCAGTATTACTGATATGATTGAACAAAACAGGCAATAATAATTTGTAATTAATAAGAATTTGATTTGTGAAAAGAAGCCCTAAAATGCAGAATAAAACAATAACAAACAGTTGAACCAAGTGTTCCTTTCTACTCATAGCTTTAGGGAAAAAAAGTTCCTTTAAGAATGTGCTTCTTCTTGGAAGAAGCAAAATAATTTACTCCGAAAACTATTCGAGGGGACAATATTAAGAGATGTACTCGAAGAACAAATTAATGTCTAAAAATGACTCGACTCATGTTTGGCATGTCTGTCTCAGAAGGAAGGTGTGTACACAATGTGTGTACTGTGTACACAGTGAGCAACTGGGGTTTAATTGCTGGCTGAGAGCAGCTGCAGTATTGAATGTATTTTTCTAGAGAAAAACCACACAGATACTTGTTAAACTGAGAGTCATCATCTTGAATATCGGTAATTAATTCTGCTGACTCATATGCACAATGTATTTCTGGCAGAGCACATTTAGACTTACTTTCACAGATACTTAATTCCCTCTCCCCAATCCCTAAAATGGCATTTTACAAGTAAATGCAGATTGTTCATCTGCCTGTTCTCTTCATCAGTGTGTCTTTTCCTCACAGAATTGATGTGACTCGAAATGACCTTCCCTGGGAATTTATGACAGACCGTCTTCCAACCATTTTATTATTTCCTCATCAGAGGTAATGTAATTCTTTTCCCTGTGAATTTTTAACTTCCATTTTACTAAGATGCAGTAGTTATGTGGTTATGTGTCTTAATAGAGAAAAAAGCCAAAGAGTAATTTATTTCCATATATGCATTCTTACTTCATGCATATTCTAATGAAAAGAAACCACCAGCAAAACAACAAAATGACCCAACCAACACTCACAGATTTACACCCTTCTCCCTCAAGGGCTCTTACCATCAGTAAATGGGAATTTAGACTATTGGTACTGGGCAGTTACTTACCACAAAATCTTAAAACCTATGCCTTAAGTTTTGCCATTCATGTTTTAATCCAATACAGAGTTTTGTTTATATCAGTTCTGAGCCACCCCAACTTCCAACTGATCATCTCCCTATTTCTTTTCATAAGTACTCATTTAGTCTGAGTCTCTGTAATGCTCTAGAAAGTCCCTGGAGGGACAGACTGAGAAGTTTTATTATTTTTGTAATGTTCCAACTAATTTTATAAAGGTACCTCACCTCTAGTCATTGCTTTCACTCCTGCTTTTCCTCTCCAGTGTGTTTTATATTTTGCTGCATGTAGATAATCAAGAAAATTAGGATCTGATAGTATTTGTTGTACCTGTAGCACTACCAGAGTAGTTCATATATTCATTTTGGATATAAAGGTGCCTCATATTAGGGCTTTTTATGCAGCTTCTTATCACTTTGCCTTAAGAGACAATTTTTGCAAATTAACTCTGTTCTCAATTTCTTTCCACCACATGCTGTTAATGTTTTGTTCTGCTGTTTGTTTTAAATAGCCTTTTAACTTCTTTGATACATGCTGCGGTTTTGATCAGTAAAAATGGATGATGATGTAGTAAAACATTACCGCAGTATAATGAGTCAATTTTGATTTAGCGTAGACTATTTTTTGCCTAAATTATGTCATGATTCATTAATCTGGGATGGGAGCTGATACTCAGCTGAGCAACTGCTGATGGTAATTGCTAAAGTAACTTGGTCCATCACCAGGAAGCTGCAGGGGAGGAAAACTCATGGTGCTTAATCTGCCAGAAATAGATTAATCTTGATGAGTGGGAGCCTCATCTGACTGAAGTTCTTAAATTATTGATAAAATATGGTATCTGTCTTCTACCTGATGTACAGTAAGTAGTTTTAGGTAAATGAAATATTTTTATATCCCACATGCTTATGAGGTGAATTTTACAGAAGGCATTTTTGAGGGAAGTGTAACTGGTAAGGGAGGAAGTCCCCTGTTCCAGATGCACATTGTAACCAATTCAGGACATAATGTCACACACAGGGGAACACAAGAGTTGTCCCTGTTGTACAGGAGCACCAGGAGGCTTTAGGCATTGTACCTGAATCTGGTTTTCTTGCTTTGCAGTCATTTTGGTTTGGGCTTATTCTCTGTCCTTTTTCTCACTTATGTAATTAACCCATATTTGAATGTATGCTACTTACCATTCTTCTAGTCATGAATTTGACAGCCAGAGGGAAGCAAACTAAGCTTTTCCTCCTTGTTTTGATGGCTGTCTCAGGAAAGAGAATATGCTGCTGATTGGCAAAGCTGGAGCAGATCCATAGTGATAAACTCCTAGCTGGCTTCGCAGTTGTACAGAATGAGGTGGAAGTGGCTATGCTGCAGGAGGAAGGGAAATTGTGTTATACTGGAACATGCCGAAGATGGAACTGGTTCAGAAAGAGTTCCAGTTTAGTCCTTAGAGGACAGTTTAGCCTCATATGTGTACACAGAGTCCACAAAGCACGGTAATTGTAACATTTATCACAGCTGGAACTACTGGTTTTTAGTGGTTAGTAGTCTTGAGGAAGAAATTTGGTACTTGCTGTTCTTGGCATCTCTTGCCCTGTTGTAACAGTTTATGCTGTTGCAGAAAGTAAGGAGGCTTACCTGCTCCATGCACCAACAGAAACCTAGAGAAAAACCTTGTTTCATTTGCTTCCTTCATCACCTCTGACATAAAGACAAAGCAGTAAGAGAAGCAGAGATTTTTTTTTTTTTTGACAGCAAAAGGGCATTACTTCTGACTAAACTGACATGTTAAAGCAAACTGCTCCCTTGCCATGGCTTTCAACTCACTAAGCTACTGCTTCCAGGAAAACTGGTTAAAAATAGTCACTTCCCATTGGGTAGCTTTATAGATCTGGACTTAAGTCTACATATATTATTAGAATTTAGGTACATTGAAATGTCATCCTTCAACTTACAGATAGTAATGGCACTGTGCTCTGATTACACAGTGATTCTACCCTATGTACCTGAAGCTCATAACCCATGATCATGAATACTTCTTTTTTAAGAGTGAAATCTGTTTTCTGAGATCTAACAGACTTTTTTCTTCAAATACCAGTCCCATGAAGAGATGCTTGCAGCACCCAGACTGGAACACAGGGAAAAGTATTCATCAAAAGAAAATGTGTGTGCTCTGTCTTTATTACATGATTTTAGGTTTCTCTTAACTGCTGTACTAACCATACTTGATGAAAAATAAGATATGAAGTTGAACAGCAGATGCTTAGGTAAAATTATCCTTAACCTTCCTGAGTATTTTACTATTAACTTGTTATGTCCTTCTAGGAAGGAGCAAAGTGTGAAGTTCCCTGAAGACTTTTCAATTAACCTTCCCAATCTCCTGAAATTTATTTTACATCATTCAAGTCTTTCTTCATCAGAGCCCTGTACCAAAGAATGTCTACATAAAGAGTCAGTTCTACAGCAAGGACACATCTCACACTTAGAGAGAGAAATTCAGAAGTTAAGATCAGAAATCAGTGCCCTTCATCAGGCCCATGACCAGCTTGAAGCACAGCTTTCTGAAGCCAGGAGAGAGGAGCAGAGACTACAGCAGCAAAAACACACACTGGAAAAGCAGCACAAGACTCTGCAGCTCCACAGTGAGCAGTTACAGGCCACATATGACCAGAAGAATCAAGAATTGTTAGAAATGGCTGAAAAGCTTCAAGAATTAGCTGATGCATCAGAAAACCTCCTTAAAGAGAATGCTTTACTGAGAATTCTGGTGGCATCACGAGGAGGAAAGCTACAGAGCAAAGATGAAATTAAGGAACCCATTCAATCTGAGAAAACACTTTCTGAAGTTAATGATATATCACTTTCAACAGCTACTGCTACTTTAGAGGAAAGAAGGATTGATAATATTGATACCATAGAGACAGAGCACAGTAGTGGAAATAGGACAGAATAATTGCTTACACAAAGTCAAATGATGCAGTATTGGGTAGGTATTTATGCAAATTTTATTGACATTCATTGTAAATAAAGACTTCTTCCCCCACATGATCTAGAAAAAGAAAAATCAAATGGAATATTTTTGTATACTTGAACAACTTATTAGATACCCCCATCTTAAGAGAAGAGGAGAATGGAAAACACTTTCTGCACTTTACTATTGCACTAACTTGGAATCATCTATCCATTTAAATGAAAGATACTGGTTTGGAGGGGCAGCAGTATGCAGCACCTCTGAATAGGGACCAGTTAGTTTTCATTGGCTTTCTCTTACAGCTGCTAGAAGGGGAATCAGATCTTTGATTTATACGTTTCCATAATTTCTGAAGTTTGCCCTTTACACTGCATTCTCTTTGCTGAACTAAAATAGATTCTTCATCTGTGTAATCGGTAAACTTGAATGGACAAAGTCATCTTGCTGCAACTGCTCTGTTCTAGAACTTCAGCACTTTGTATCACTTTTGTATACTAGTATTCTTACTGCCTGGCAACCACATGTGAGCTGTCCTCAAACTAGTCCTGAAAACTAGAGAAAGTCTTATTGAATTAATCATTTTTCCTTTGCTTTTAAGAGGTCTCTAATGCAGCAATTTACGTGTACAGGTCTGACCATACATATACATGCAGTATCTTAAAAAGCATGTGTCAGGCTAAGAACATTATCAGCTGTACCCCATATATTGTACTAAAGAAGCAACAGCAGGAGCTTTTTGCTACTGACTTAATTTTTTTTTTGCTTCAAATTACAGCTTTCAATTTTAAAAAGGCAAATGTAGCACTAAAAAAACAATTCAACATTTTAGTGTAGAAGAAGGGGACAACTTTTTGCCTAGGCCATTCTTGTCTTGCATATAGTTAAAATTCTCAAGCAAGCTTGCTAGGCTTTAAGTTATTCTGTATGTACAGGTACAAGAAGCAAGTCTAATACTTCCTCTGGAGCTGAATTAAGGCTAGGCAATTAAGTGTTTAAAAATATCAGTATGCAAAGGAGGCCATGTATAAAGTAATAGAAAACAGGCCAGTGACCTCTAAGCATGTGTGCCTACATGAAAAGTTTTAGAGTATGTAAGCTGCCATTAGCTGCTCAGTGTTGTTCCTTCTCTTCCCCCAAACCTTTGCAGTCCAGAACTTCCCATTTAACACCTTCTTACAGTTCCTATAGCTGAACTCCAGCACAGAGCAGGAAATGTATGTTATCCGGAAGAACTTGGCCATTGCTAGCTATAAACTTCTACAAACTGACCAGCAATAATCCTTGCTCCTATTGACAGTAGAAAAGACTGAAACTTCTCCTGTTGTAGTACAGTTCAATCAAAAGTTATATACAAGATACATTAACTGAATTCTAGACTTGACTGGCTGTAGACTAAAATGCCTTTTTGTGACATGCTGGTAACATACACCCTACGTACACAAACCAAGGTTCTGGGAAGAATTCATACTCCTTGCACTTAAGCCAGTTTTGCTAAGTAACCACTTCTACAGTTTCAGCACACAGACCTATGGAAGAGAGAAGCCTGCTCTACTGCCATTTCAAACACCTGGAAACCTTCTGGACTTTCCCTGAGGGTTCAGTATCCATCATAAGTTCCCAGGTTGGAACCCACCAAAATGGCAGTTTCCTTGCAGTAGCTACATAAAGAACTCAGTTCTAGCAGCCAAAAGCTTAAGCAACATAGCTGCAGCTAAAGGAACTCTTCTTTTCTTGCAGCTCCTGTGTTTCCTTCTTCAGCATATTACTGAAGGCATATATCCCTTCTTTTCAAATGAAGTACACTGCATCAGTCCAATAAACCATTCAAAGGAGTTCTGATTTAATGGTCCACACTCAACCTAGTAGCAGAGGCAAGCTTTAACTGCAGGTTTGGTTTTGAAGGTCTGGAGTCCCATCCTTGGTAGTGGTTCAGGAGGCCCCCTGTGTATTATATACAGTTGTATCACATTCCCATATGCTACAGAACACAAAGCAAGTTTCTGGCAGCCTATTTACAGTTCACAGTTGTAAAGTAGTTCACATTACAGCAGCTCCATCAAAAGGATGCTCAGCTAAACATTCAAGTGACAAAAAACAGTAGTAGTCTCTTCACACCAGTATATCCCTGTGCCCATTGCCAGCAATGGACATTACACCAGGCGAGTCAGCTCCTGCCATAGAGGAATTAGGATACACAGTCGGTGCAAAGTGCAACTTCTCAGTGCATGCTGCATAAGCTGCAAACAAAGCTTATTCAATTCTCATCAAGGTGTTTTCTGATGAGCAGTGTGCATGTGACCAGGTTCTTCAGTATTGAGATGCTTCTGCTGGTTACACATGCCATGAGCATAGTCCATCTGCACGTGTTGCTCCGAGTTAGCTGTGTACTTCTGGGCCGTTCGGAGTTAGCTTCGCTTTCCTCTCCACACAGGGTCCTTTAGCAGAGTACTGCACCAGCAGAAAGGGCTCTTTGGTTTCTCCCTCACCCACAATGCTTTCCTCATCCTCAGACTGGCTGAGCTTCTGCAGCCGCAGGTAGCACCAACAACCCAGGATCAGGGCTCCCAGAGCCGCAATAGCGATCAGGATAACAATGACAGTCACCACTCCAGTAGTGGGGCTATGATCTGTGATAGACATGGCCAATAATTCAGGCTGTACTCTTCTTCAGGAGATTTTTCTGTCCTCACTGTCTTAATGCATCTTTAAACTCCTGCAGGGTTAAAAATAAATAATGAACTTGTGCAGTTTTGCTGCACTCAGCAAGATTATATTCGTGGCTGGTATTGTCTACAAGGGCATGTGATCCTCTTGCACTCAGTACTTTGTGCACAGTAATAGAATCACAGAACACGTTTTGGCTCCTGACATACTGAGATAGCATGTGGTCAGCCTTCTAAGAGGTAACAATTTTCACTATGATATGTAAGACAAGACTGAAAGTTCTATGGAATTCATACAGTTCAGGGAGATTGAAGACTGTTGACACAAATGCTGTATCACAAGTGAAATCTCAAATCCATGACAAAGTAGCAATTCAGCTACCTTTAATTTTCCTCAGGGAATCCTACAGAAACAGTACATTTGGGTGTCTGGCCCTTTTAAAATTTTAATTTACAAACATCCTTCTTATATACTAACAATTCCAGGATTGGTAAGCTAATTGTGTTGGTAGTTGCAGTGCTAATGCATTACTGTAAGTCTGTCCATAACACTGGTCTGCTTACAAGGGCTGGGTACATGGTTATTAATTGTTTGTTCATTGAGCTGATAAATGCACATAAAACATCTGTTGCTTTTTTTTTTCATAAAAAGCAGGTAGCACTGTATTTAAGACTAATGAAAGCACGATGGAAATACCATTTTAAGCTTCTGCTGCTCTTAGTGGCTTTAAAACCATTAGAGAAAGGCAGTCTGTTAGGGCTGCAGCTGGAATTGGAGGAGAGGCAGCAGCAGGAAACTGGAAGAGCTCCAAGACTTCCTTACTTTGCTATAGTTTGAGCAGGACAAAAATATAGAGGTAATGTCTTTTGCTACTTCTCCTTCCAAATTCACAACCCTATTTAAAAAACTCATGTGAGCCTTATCTTTAGTATCAGAGTTACTGTTTACAAAGCTGATAGCTTCACTTTCCTTCCTTCAACTAGGACATAAAAGGTAATGAATTAATGACTTGCTTCTTTCCTACTACCCTAGATTTTCAACAAAACACAAACTCATGGAAGATGTTAAAGCAGAGACACTTCTACCCAGGAACATCTCTTAGCGCTGTACTAAAAAAATCAGGTTAAGGCTCAGTACTGCCATTTCAGCTACAAAAGATGCAGTCCCTAGAGATTCTAATGCCAGTTCTAAGTCCACATGTGCTTTTCTCCTGACCTGTACCCACTGACTGGCAATGAGGTAATAGGAGTATCTTCTGGCTGCCAGTCTGTTGAGGGTCATATACACCTGGTCCAGGAAAGGCTCTTCTTCAACATTACTGCTGAATCTCAGCTGCAAGTGCAGCATCTTGACACAAAAACCCCTCAGAAGTCAGTCTTAACCCACCCTGTGCCAGGACCACTGGATTACAGTGAGTGTCACCCACTGCACCAGATCTCACCTGCATTTCAACAAGAGTCAAGGCAATTACAGTGCAGGATCCTTACCAAGACAGCTCAAGCCAGAGACTAAGTTTGTTTCCTGATGTCTCCTGGAATGACAGACCTATGTGTATCACCATTTCAGCAAGGACACCTCCACTACAGAGTTCAGCATGTGTCATTAGAGTCCAGTGTCACATAACTTGCAGACACTAAACCACAGCAATTGATAGCTTGTAGTGTATCAGATACAACCAGCCAAGTTCTGCAGACCCAGTTTTGCCTAAGTAGTAAAACCAAACCTGACCACGCCACACACCCTCAGCAGGGCTGTGTGCCCACTGCAGCCAGTGTATGATTTGTCATAATCACCTTGGTTCTGCAATGCTTACTCAACACAGGGTAATCGGCTGAGGCTGATTAAGAGTGACTTTCATGTAGTTCATTTTTCCTCAGGGCATGCCTGAAGAGCAGCACTGTTTGATCCAGCCAAAACAGTACAACATCAGCGTAAATAGTTACCTCACTTCTCACGCAGATGCTGCATGGCCACATTGAGGCCTCTTCTGCAGTTTGCACTACTGCAAGTAGCAGTGACAGCTACTGTTCCTCTACAGCAGTTTGGGTCAGCAAATAGCCTTACATTAAGTGGTTACTGTCACCTAGAAAATAGTTTTTCATAGTGGAAACTATTGCAGATCGTACCCCTCTGCCAGTCTTTGACTGGTATCAACTATATAAAGTATGAAACTGTGCACATCACCAGCCTCTCTATCACCAGGATCTTCTGGCAATCTTGCTTCAGGATGCACAAGACTGATTTATACTGAAAAGACAATTTTGAGTTCAAGTGCAACATAGTAACTTACAGATTCCTCAAAGATCTTTCCTGGCCAAATCCATACATTTTTACCATTAAAATTCCAAATATTTTCTATTTGATTTAGAAATCAAAGAACTTCACCTCTCAATGACAAAGTGTAGGCATTCCTTGAGGCATATCCTCTTCCCACTCAGGGACTTGCAAGCCAGCACCCCATATAGTCAGGTATTAAGCATCTGTACAGATGGCACAAACAACTAGTTAATAGTGCGTGACAGTGGCTTTAGGTAGTTTGGGAGCTCTAGTGTTGTTGCTAGCTCACACTGCTATTTTTCTGGCTTTAGGTCACTGTACAGCTAGAACTAAAGCTCTCCTGTAGCCTTAGTTCTACCCTTAGCACAGTACATTTGCGTGTTGTAACTATATCAGTAAGAACTTCCGAAGAAGCCTTGGGATTGTGGTGTTTTCTGGACACAACTCCACCCTTGCTGTTCTTTCCACCAGCAGCTGATTGGAATCCAGATTAAGCTGTCTCTGTATTCCCCTTCTTGATAGGGGAAATATTGCATTCTGTAGATCCCCTTTAAATTAGTTTAAAGGCCACAAATACTTCAGACTCACTTTCCCTTTAAAGTCTACCTGAGCTAAAAAGCCCCTATGAGCATACCAGGAGCAACACTGCCTTCATCACTTTTACTGGAAGATATTAGAGGCTGTAAATTCCTGATCTTCAAAGGAATTGCCAGCACCATCCATATATATTTGGTGGCACTTGTAGAGCTATGTCCCTGCCCACCACCCTGCTATCAAATCAAGCATCTAAGTATATTTACTCATTAGTGAGATTAGTCAGATCACTGGTGTGAACTGCAAATAGCCTATTTAAGTTCTTACAGCAATCAGGCAGTGAAAACATCAGCTAGAAACCATTTTTCCATAAGTAAGTTGCTTATTTTCTTTTTTTTTGCCTAATACCAGCTTGTACTCAAATTCATTTGTGAAGTTTTATTATCCAATTCAGAAGCTGTAAGTAAAGGACAAACAGAAAAGCAGAATTGCAAAAGGCTGATAGGGGACAAATGTAGTGTAAGACTAGAATTATTTTCTAAACCAAGTTTTTCATTATTACAGGCACTATGCTGCTAAATTCACTATTGTTAGTGCCTGCAGGCATGTTTCACTGCTACCATTCAAGCCAAAGGTATGGGAAGAGCCTTCAAAAGCAAATTTACTATAGTTCACCCAAATGTACTGAAGTCCTCATCAAGCAGTTATGGTCAAGGTTCAAGTATTAAGTCTTTGGGCTCTTTATTTTTTTTGGGGGGGGGGGGAAGGGGGGCAGGGAGGGGAGGAGGTGGGAGCTACTGTATTATAGTATACCACCTAAAGTAAGTTAAATGGGGCACAGTAAAGAAATGAGAATAAAGCTACCAGAATGACCTTCAGCTTAATTAAAAAAAAAAAAAAGCAGTAAAAACTGTTCAGTTAAAAAGCCTCCGACAACAGCTTGTAATCAATGTGCTTCTAATTGTGAAAAATGATTTCTCCTGTTTCTGCTAGCAAAACCCCATTTGAGGAATGCTGCATACTCATCACAGTAACATCCTTCTTGCCAATGGAAGACAAGGGGAGAACCCACTGGGAAGATCAGTGCTATACATTTACCACAGGCACACAAATGTGTATCCACACTACCCACAGAAAGTAAGGCCTTTATAATACAGTAGTGCTCAGGCTTCACTACTTACACATAAAAAAAGGTATCACTTATTCTTCATTAACTCCAGTTAATATCACCTCCTTCTGATAATGCCAGGTTATCTTGCACAAGCTGGGGCTTGGCCAGAGGCTATTTTAGAAGCAGGGAGCTATTTAGTAGAAGGCTTCAATGTAAATCATCTTTTCCCAACCCTTATTATAGTTTTGATGAAGTAAAGAAGGCTTTTCTGTGGCTAATTAGCTGTGGACAGTATTCCAAGAACTTAACATTCAGGTAACTGTTAGACACTCTAGAATGAAAGCTGATACCTAACAGCATTGGCTGCAACAGCAGTTAGTTCCCACATGAGGTGTAGTGGTACCTTAGACTTAATCAAGACTCACTTTTAAAGCTTTGCACCAAACCAATCCACACAGAAGTTGGTAATTTACAGAAGGACAGCAAGATGGAGAGATGAGAGAGTAGCAGCTTAAGATGTTTTCCAGACATGATGACAGTTACAAGAGCAGACAGACTTTCTCAGCAGCACAGCAAGTGGAGGAGGTTTATGCTCTAACTGCCTGTCAGGCAAGTCAGCCAGTTAATGCAGAACTGGAAACACGCTTACAGTGTTAAGAACATGTTGACTTCAGAGGCAATTGCATGGCTGGCAAAACATCTGTCATACTCCAGATATTTATGTCAGTGTCACATACACACGGAGTTCTAATGAAAAGTCTGTCCTGACATGGTAGGAGTCACTTCTGACATTCCATTACCAGAAGTAGTATGTTGTATATATCCCCTGACACAGCTTAATTCTTGATATATTAGAAAAATTACTGAGATGCCAACATTAAATTTGCTGATAAAAACAAGGGGTTTTTTATTTAGATTCAAGGTAGATCTTCAAATGTGTCATTTTGGGGTTTTTTTTAAATGCCTTTGTCTAACAGCAGCTACACAGCACCTGATGTTTCTGAGAGTCAAACAATTTTTATACACAGCGCAAAGCTTTAGACAGCAAGTACCCCAGGAATCAGTCACGTACCTGCACCAAGCAGCTCTGGCCAGGAGTCCTCTACGCAGTTTCTGAGTCACCTTATTAGAAAGGCGAAGGTCACACTGGTTTTGGATCTTGTCTGGCAAGTCTTTCTTCTCGCTGTTCCCCTGTGGAGAGGGATCACATTGGTCTCTAACTGCTCTGCATCCTGAGTGCCTTTCACTTTTGGCTTTTCAATGACATAATTATGTTTAACTACTGGTTTCTGGCACAAGCTGTCAGGGAAAGATCCCTTACTGTTTCACCAACCTGCTAATCAAGGCAAGAGTCTCACAAGTGGTTTCAAGTTCTTTAGGTTTATTCAAAAGCAACATCTACTAACAAATGTCTTCACCTACATTTGTGTCAGGAAAAGGAGCACGAGACGGCACGGTACACTGCAGATACTCAGACGAAGGAACAAGATTCAGTTTGAACAACTTACGTTACCAAAAACTCCCGGATCGTCATCATAAAGGTCGGTTTGGACATACCCTGCAGCATGTACCGAACTCCTTGCATTGGGCGAGCAGGGACGAGCCTCTCCAGCCGAGAGGAACCCGGTGCCCAACCCGAACAGCCGCCGACGATCCGTGAGGCATTGCCTTGTGACTGCAGCACAGCAAGGCAGCTGCAAATCACCGGCAGACGGGGACGAGCCCAGAGACAGGCAACGAGGCGGCACGGGACGCCCGGGCTGGGGGAAGCCTCGAGTCACCCACGGGGCCCACGCGAGGCCTGCGGGGCGCCCAGCACCACTCGGAGCCCGGCAGGGCCAGGCGCGGACCCTCCCGCGGGCTGCGGCGGACACAAAGAGCGAGGAGGGGCGGCCCTCGCCCAGGGCGGGGGAACGTGGGGAGAGCTCAGGCGGCCCCGACCCCAGCGCGGGTGCCTGCCCGCCTCACCAACCCCCGCCCCTGCCCGCAGCACAGCGAGCCCACCCCCGCCCCGCACGGAGCCGAGCCCAGCCTCCCCCGGCCCCCAGATCGCTCGCCCGCGGCCACCACCCCGAACAGCCCCAATTCACCCACCGGCCTCGCCGCGGCCGCGGCAGCTCCTTCCCCGCACGCGCCGCCGCCTTATACCGGGGGCCGGGCGGCGCCGCGCGGCGCCAATCGGGGCCCGGGCAGCAACAGCTGACGGGTTAATTACCCGCGGCCCTTCCCTCCCTTCCCTCCCTTCCCGTGACTGCCACGGTGGGTCCCGCCCCGCGAGGGGTGAGAACGGAATCACAGAGCAGAATCACGGAGCCAGAGAACCATAGAAGCATGGAATAGTGGAATCATTGAGAAGAGATCTTTAATACCGTCCAGTCGAACCGTCAACCTAGCACCACCACAATCACCCCTAAACCTCTAAACCACATCAGCCAGAGCCACATCCAGACGCCTCTTCCTCTTAAACACCACCAGAGGTAGTGTCGCCGCCACCACCCCCCTATTCCATTGTCCGACTAGCCGAACAGCCCCCGTCTCAGCTTAAAGCCTTTTCCTCTGGTCCCTTCACTGTGGGTACGGCAGAGGACACCGGCCCCCAGCCCACTACCACCTTCTTTCAGGCAGTTGTAGAGAGTGATGAGGTCCATCCTGAGCCCCGTCGGGACTAAACAAACCCAGCTCCCTCAGCCACTTTCCATAGGACACGTTTTCTAGACGCTACTTGGCGGGTCGCGGAAGCCGAGGCTGTACTGAAGGGCTCCTTTGAAGGGCCGCGCTCCTTCCCCTCGCCGGCTCCGCCCTCAGCCCTGGGCCCCGAGAGGAGTCCGGGCGAGCGGGTGAGGGCACAGCCGTCCCCGCCACGGAGTGAGGGTGTTGCACATCGCTGACCCAGCTCCAGCGCTCACCTCTCCAGCCCCGCTGGGATAAACACCCTCGGACACCTCTGTGACCCCGCAAGAGGCGACTTCTCGGTTCACCGGGCGGCAACAGGACAAGGGCGCCGTTAGCGGAGGCCACGCCTGAGCCGCCACAGTGTTGGCTCTGACGGCCCTAACGGGCCCCTCCGTCCGTGGCCCCGAGCAGACAGCGCCTGAGGGTGTCTGCCTCAAACCTGCAGTGAAGTCTCATTCCCAGTATACCCATTATATTTGGTAATTCATACCATGGTGCTGCAGTTAGGAAATAGCCCAATACAGGGGTTTGTCACCTGTCGGCTGAAGTTAGTCATCACTGGCGTAAAAAAGAATATTGCAACTCCTCTGACGAGGTATAGTTACTGGTAACACAGATTCCAACTTACTTGAGGTTCATCTGAAGTCTAGCAAAATTAGTTTTCAGGGAATAGACTGTGACAGAAGATTAAGTTTGGAAGTCACCATGACTTAGAGAAAAACTTGTTTTACAACACAGTTTATCTGGTGATTTAGCCCCAGTCAGTGAACAAGCTGCCCATTTGCAGGATGGGGGAGAGAATCAAATTACTCTATTTTGTTATTCACTTTTAATTATCAACCCTGCTTTCAAGGAAGATCCAAAACATAGTCCTACAGTAGCTACTACGAGGAAAACTTTCTCTATTCTAACCAAAACCAACACAACACTAAAATTTTCTATTGAGTAAAACTAATATTTCCTTCCACAGATGCAGTGTCCACCATAAGTATGAAACAACGTGCATGGTCTCTTTCTATTCTCTTTCAGTGGAAAGCTAAGTATGGCCCAGTACCTGCATGGATGCCTCACCTCCTCTACTTACACTCTGAGCCATCCAGACACAGGTTATCTTTTGCCTGGGAACTATACAGCCCCCTTCATATATGTAGGTGTGTCAGGAGACCTTCCTAAGATGACAGATAACTCTGAACTGCTCCCAAATCCTTTCTAGCCAGTTTGCAGCATTAGCAGAGCAGCTGTTTCATGGTTTACGCTGCCCCAAGCACACCATCCTGCAGCTTGTTTAATCAAAAATGTATGGCGGCATGGAATATCTGAGATACCACAGCCAGTTAAGAATATTTTTTATAAAAGTAATTGTTTAATGTAAGATTAACGGTTTAAGCTTTGGATCTAATAAGTGTAGTGCAGGATCAGTTTCTACTGTCTGTATGCATCAACCACCATAGAAAAGATGATAAAACACTACTAAACCTTAAAAGCTCATAATCTTTCTTGAAAGAAGGGGAGGAGTAAGCACAGATACTGGGTTTCTTTCACTGTTGGTAACTAATGGTCTGGATTATCTGGCAAAGTACTGGCCATGGCAGTAACCTTCTGTCAGCTGAGCAGATGCAGAGGTAGCCTTTGGGCCAGTACTTTAATAAGATGTCTAAATCTCATTTTGACACTTTAATCTCTCCAGAGATGCCTGTTTTGCTTACGTAACCATGGATGGAGTCTCCACTCCAAGTGTCCCAATCCATTTCAGTGAGAAGGGTCATGCCCTTATGTACAAAAACCATGAATACAATTACGACAAAGCTGACTGGTGAAAGCCATCCAGTAATAGCTGCAATAATCTTCTCTTAAGAGAAGAATGGAATTCTCTTTTGGTATAATTTGAAAACTTTTTGCTTTGAGAAAGTTTTAATAGACATTTTGCATCTCATATTTAGTAAATGGCACAGAGAACAAAGCAGGTTCATTCACATCAGTTTCTTATCTTTGTAAATGGGCTACTTGCTCTGCGCAGACTTGGATGGGAAATTTCTAGTCTGCTGTGAAGAAAGTACAGAGCTGTTAATTCTTCAAAATCACTTAAAAGCTCCTCTTACTTTCCCACCTTCACCCATCCCCGGTTAACCCTTAAGGCTTTTAGCAGGGGCAAGGGTGTAATGATCTCTGATCCACCCATGGGGAGCAAAGAACCCATTGTGTTCTTCACCAGGAGCTGCTGAAGCATACTCAGTTAAGGCCATTGAGTAATATGGTTTTCAGCTGTGCTAAGGATGAAAAAATGAGAGTTTTCTCTTATTTATTTATTTACTGCTGCTCCTTAGCTGTGCACAAGTAATGTACAACTGTGAACATGCAACATGCTACTGCAGGAATACTTTTCTCTTCCTTAGAAAATAATTACAAGGTTATCAGTAAGATTTCTTCCTCAATATTCATAATTTACATAAACAGATTTGACAGTTTTCCAAATGTATACTATTGTTTAAAGCACACACTTCTGCTTTGATGTTTTCATATCACAAGCACTCAAGAGTAAACCATTATATGTGCTTATAAGATTTCACTGGGATTTATCCACAGAAGAATTCTGGGGGCAGTTGTAGTTGCCATTGTCACAGTCATCTGGCTCTCTCCTGGAGCTATTCTGACCCAAGCATAGTTTCCAGCAGTTTTGATTTTAAGTGTTACTAATTACAGAGATTCTTTTGTTTGTCTTCAGGGACTATACCACTGTCAGAGAAATAAATGACCATATTAAGATATGTCTGTATTTATTTTTTTTGTTAGAAATAAATTGTTTCCGTTGTTGTAAATTCACATCACACACTTGTGTCTGCTAACATGGCTATTTTAAAAGTACTTATTTTTGGGGTTTCCTTCTGTCAGTTATATCCTGTGCCCTCTAAGTATATTCTTTGTATATTCATTATGCTTAAATTTTGAACAATTATTGTCAATATTTGTTCCTTTAATTAGGGGCATATGTTGTGTTACTTCCAAAATGGTGGCCAGTAAAATAAACCATGTGCTCCGTCCATTTGCACTTGGAAGGACAGCGAATATGCAGCAGATGCATATTACACCTATAATATGTTCCATTTCCTGTTGTTCTGTAGCACTCCTTGGTGCAAAATGTGTTCAGTAACCATTGTGGCCTCTAGAAAGTTTATCAGGGAAAGAGACCACACAGAACACTTTTGTAGGTCTATAGGGGGATTGATAAAGAGGACAAACTGCTGCTGTCTGTTTGAGGAGGTCTAAATGATATCTTGCACGTTTGCTTACAGGTCATTGGAGAGCACATACACAGAGAAAATGGGACCAAGTTGACCTTCTCCAGCAACTTGAGCAGGTTTTATGTTTTCTTATTTCACTTGGAAAAAAAATGCATGAGAAATTATTAATCCAGCTCTGTGCATGAAAAGAAATGAAAGTATATGAAGAGTTTGTACAGGTCAAAGTTTAAATTTTTTTAAGTTTTGCAAAACCTCAGGGTAATACTAAATGAGGATTTGCTTCCTCTACCGGAGCATGCTGTACATGTCCTCAAAGCTTTTCTTGCATTCTTCTGTTGTGGAACCCTACCAGCTTTCCTTAGCCTTCTGCTTAAGAAAGCATCTGTTGGGTTTTGTACTCAGCTATTTGTAATTATGGGTGTGACTCATGAAATGTAAAAGCACTTTTAAGATTAGTGTGAGAATAGACTCACTGTATATCTGAATAGTAGAATCAATCCACTTCTGCATTAGTGCTAGGAATATCCACCACACCTATTTAAAAGAAAATCCTCAGAAGATAGTTTTTACATGACAGCATAATTGAAAGATGCATTCTGTAATTCTGATTAGTGCTGTAAGTGGTGCTTCATGATGAGAAACTGTGAATCCAGGCTAGGGAAAATTGATTGTTTAAAACCCATTTGAGTGTAAGCTTTAATTTAGGATTCTGAAGGCTGTAGCCCTTTTTTGGCATGGAACGTAAGCTGGGACAAGAGGTGGTTCTGCCTGGATGCCTTGCATTCTGCCCTGAAAAGACAGCTTTTATATGTAACGCCATAGATGATAAAAGGTGAAAACAGTGCTATATATCATATTCACAATGAAAAGTATAATCTTTATTTTGCTGCAACACTAGGAGATAGCTGCAGCTATCTCCTATTCACTTCCACAGCTTCAAAATATGGAAGAAGATGAATTTGCTGTGTTGAACATCTTTGTCTCATGCTTTGGAGGCTGATTTTGTACCTGAAAGCTGATGAACAAGGTACAAAGCATTTCCTTTGTGCAGCAGTTATTTCTAAAGCTCTCTGCCACAGTTGTGAAGCCTTCTGAGAAAAAACATCTGAAGAAAGTGCCAGCATCGCAGGCTTACTCCGTGGATCTGGGTGCAGTTCCCCATCCTTACAGGTTATTAATTAACATCCAACAGTCATTTTAAAGCATGTTATTTTAAACTTGACACCAGACAGGTTTTAGCAAATTCAAATGTTGCTC